ACCTGCCGCGCCCGAATATCGAGCAACTCTTCAAATGACAGGTTGACTTCCAGATCCCGGCGCCTCCACGTCTTAAGAAAGCTTTCAATAGGGAAGGTGGCATGCCTTCCGTACCACAGCGTCGCAGGTGCGTACTTGGTGAATCTCTTTACTGTAATGTTCTCGACAAAGAAAGTCGCCCTTAGGTATCTTGGCCATTGATTAGGCCTACCTTTGGTCCATTTGGCCAGGAGGTTCGTAATGGTACTATGTCCTCTCTCTACGGGAGCATTTGCCTGGGGGTGCGCGGTCGTGCTGTAGTTGGCTGCCACACCATATCTTGCTAACAGTTCTTGCACCTCCTGGCAGGTAAACTCTGATCACCTGTCCATTACGAATTCCCTGACGAAAGGATAACGCAGGTAGTACTCCTCGATGCAGCTCACCAGGACTGACCTGGTCTTTGTGCGAATAGCTCGCCCGTCTACGAACCCAGACAGGTTATCGCGCGCATCGAAGATATAGTTATAGCCCTAATCCCCAAGTGGCATAAAAAGCAGATCGAGATGCACTACGGCCCCTACCTCTCACTCTAACCTTGGATGCAGCGACTCTCCCTGCCTTAAACGGGATCTTTCCTGGCAGGGTACACAAGATCGACAGAATTTTTCGACCATGTCCATCATTCCATCCCAGTAGTACAGCTCACTTATCTTGGCATACGTGACTTGTACCCCTCGATGCCCTCCTGCAATGCTATCGTGTAGTGCTGCTACGACGTCGATCTGACGATTCTTACCGCAGACGACCCTCCTGGGATTCCCCACTTCCCTTCTCACGAAAAGGTGACCGTCTCGAACTAAGTAGCATTGCGGCATCCTTTGAGCCCTATCGCTCGCATCTCTTAGCCGCGTTTCACATGACAGAAGAAGCCCCAGCTTTAGGTAGATCCCGTTGTACTCCTCTGCACGAAAAACCTCCTTAATTTCCCCTTCTTCGAACTCGTCGTCCTGACTCTTGGGTATTTCGTTCACATTCCCTGCCGGGTCCAACGAGCCTGACTGGTCTAAGCTTTCCTGCAATAACGTATTGACGAGGAGATACATTCCTGCGCTGGATTCGATCTCCATTAATCAGGGTCGGGATGGTTGGTGGGAGGGAACCATAGTTCTCCCACCTTTTTTTTTTTTTTTTTTTTTTTTAATCTATGGAAAT